TTTTGTAGAGAATAAAATGTTACATAATGTGAAAAACAACTCAGCTTGGTGTCTTTCGATTTAAAAAAATGACTGTAGACATACTCTCTTTCACTATATAACAGAATAATCACAGAGCAAGTTTTTCGCCAGGAATTCTGAAAGTTGTATTCTATAAACGAACTAACTAACAGTAAAGACCGTCCAGTCGAATAACATATGACAGAAAACATTTTAGAAACTACATTCATAATGAAAAAAAAAGTCGAAAACTTTCGTTGCTATATCAGAAAAAGAAGACCTCTTTAAGTTTAACTGTAACTATGTTATCAAACAGCTTCTAAATTTCAAGTGTTACCCGTCATAGAATGAAGGGTTTTTTATGAATATTGAAAATTATTTGTTGATTCATCGAATTTTGAATTGGCATTCAGTGTCGATGGCAGACAGAACAACAATTTCATTGATCAGTTGGAAATATAAGGGAACCGGTGAGCTTCATAAGTTTGTTTCCGATTATTCCAAAGAATTCATTTATACCAAATCCGTTCAAGCATACGGCAGAAAATTCATCAAAATAGCGACACGTGTTTACCTTGACATATAAAAACTTTCATCTTCAGGCAGTATACTATTGTTTGACTGATGATAGTTAAACAAGAGAAGAAAAAGAAAAAGCTTATGATTCTTTCTTCGACATTAAGTAAAGACTTCGAGAGAGAGAAAAAGAGAAAATGAAAAAAAAAAACGTGAATCATGTTAAGCATAAGTAGTAGTTTTTTTTACTATGATGACGATTACAGGACATAGAGCATTTAGTAGCTCTTTGTAATCGATCCCAATGGGCCAAGAATCGAGATTTTTGTCAGTCGAGGATAGTACCGTCAATAATAGAATTAACAGTGCTCAATCTAGCGTAATCGATTCTCATCGTCTTCGACCTTGGCAACCACTTTTCAGACGCAGTACGATGCTGATTGGTATAACCATTGCTGTAACCGGCATCTTTCATCTTTCTTATGCATTTCATGAATCCAATTCAGTCCTACTAACACGACATCAATCTTTAGTGCGCACATCTCAAGATAGAAATTTATCTACAACGACAACACCATTGCAAAACAATACCAACAAGACCGATGTCGTTCTTCGTGAATCTGAACTACCTGTTTCATGTGTTTTTGGAATTCTTCGTTCGGATGGATCATTCGGTAATCGAATGTTTCTTTTTGCTAGTGCCTATGGCTTAGCTCGTATTCATTCATGTCATCTCTATGTACATCCTTGGATCATTTTCGATCTGCGATCTACGTTCACGATTAATCTAAATCAAACTCCAGTCCAACTTTTGAAAAATCCGGCAGAATTTGAAAATCGAACTGATGTTTTTCGACGATATAGTGCATGCACATTATTCAACGATCTATTCAAAATACCCTTACCTTCTAATTATACAAGATATGAACTCGTAGGTTTTTATCAAGCTTTCGGCTATTTCGATCGCTTTCGCACAGAAGTTGTTCAATTATTCGAATTTAACAGTGAAACAATCAGAATAATTACACCATTTGTTGAACAATTGGTCAAATGTGAGTCCTACAACACGATGTTTCTATTTCAGTTTTGTTTCATAGAAAGATCTTTGAGAAGTGTTCAAATTCTGATGCTGAGAAAAATGAATATTTAGAATTACGATCGATGTTGATATCTCTTAAGATTTTTTTTATCTGAATCAATTGAATCATATATGAAATTGAAAAACTTGCTCTTCAAATTATTTTCATATTGAATTCAAGGTATTTTAATTTTATTATGAGTTTTATCAGAATCTACCTTTCACCCACATACTACATGGACAATTAATTCTTGGTACTGACCGATAATGCAAGTATTCATTTGACAGAAAATAAATGAAGGTAAAAGGCGTGATTCAAAGTCATTTTGATAAGTCATTCTTTGGTTAACATTTATTTGACGGATTTTTGAGATTAAGAACATATTTAAATTGACCACAAAAAGGATGTAGTCGATTTATGTATCTTTTGAAATTTGTTTACAACTTCTTTTTTCAGTCAAAAAGTGAATTTATTAGCATCTAACAAGAGCAGAAGTCACTTAACACTATCTAAATCATTTTTGAAGAAGATCAGCAGTAAATAATTCATTGAAAAAATTTTTTAGATTGGTTTCAAAAATTTGTGAAATGTCAGTTGAAAAGTCAGGAGTCATGTCTCAAGAATAGCACGTCTAGTATCGTTCGAAAAACTCTATCGAACCAGATGTAAACAAACTACGAAGAACATTTTGTTAGCATAATAGTTAAACCACAATCGTACTGCAAACAATGGAAGACTCGCATTAAGTTGCGTAAATGTAGCCTGAAGAAAGATCTATCACAATAATTTTGAATTACGCCTTTTATTTCCATTGCCATTTCGTATATGATTTTATGCGATTCTACGATGATGATTCCAATATTATTCATATTGAGATTATCATATGTTCAGAATTTTTTAAGTTGTTCATGAGTAACTCGGGGAAGAAAAGTTATAAAATAAGCATAAGAATAAAGTATGAGTTCTTTAATCATATACTACGTCTTCTTTTTCTTATAACTGTTCACATGCTAATTAGATTGTTGATCGATTAGAATTTGATAAATGTATCATTATGCTATTATAAATTGAATCCATTCTAGAGAACGATTTTCGTCAGGATGTGCTGTTCATCCCGTGAGCATGCCTTCACAGAAAAAACACTATAACGCACATATTTTGTTACTATCTCGAACAATTTGTAGTTTCATGATTTTTCTTCTGTTTCATTAGCTGTGTGGAATAATTCTGTCAACTTCTATGCTAACAATAGTAAAGTTACACATGCAACACTCAAATCATTTCTTCAACATCCGCCTTCTTCATTGCCACGTGTAACATGGATAGGAGTGCATATTCGTCGTGGTGATTTTTTGACTTTCTTCAACATTGACACGAGTACTTCTTATCTCATTTGGGCTATCAACTATTATCGTCAGAGATACATTAATTGCCGATTTTTAATTGCGTCTGATGATAAAAATTATGCTAAGCAACATCTTGGCAATTTCTCCGATGTCTTTATCACACCGTCGTCGTTTTTTCATGGTCATGATTTAGCTGCATTGGCTTTATGTGAACATTCAATTTTAACAGCAGGAACTTATAGTTGGTGGGCAGCATGGTTAGCAGGTGGTAATGTTATACATGATCTTAACTATCCAGTACCATTCCAGAAATGCATCAAAGAACATTATTTTCCTCCGTGGTTTCTTTTTCCTCACAATAGTTCAAGTAAACAATGGGGCTCGTCTCCATCTCCGTGATTTAGAACATTTGTTTGGTTTTCGCGAAGAAAAGGTTGAATATATTTCTATTTGAATATTAATCGATAAAGAAACTAGATATTATTCGCATTTTGGGGTGTGGGCATTCAAAACAGTTACCCACAATCAGACTCGCAACCACACCTAAACCCTGCCGAAAGGTTTGTAATAATTTTGAAATTCATCGTTCTCACGTTCAACAAAATCAAACTTCTTGAAACTTTCGCAGATTATTGTATATATCAAGTGTAACATAACTTCAAAGTTTTGATGTCTATAGCTTTTACTATGGGTAAGAATCAGTAACAAGATTGTCATGAACTAATTTTTCAATTTTTCTGAGCATCTTGATTATTGTTAAAAAAATTTAAACAATGGAAATGAAAAGAATAGCACAGTAATATAAAATGACAGATAAAATAGCAGCATCATTAAAATTGGTAATTCATCAAGGTGTTTATGAGTGACTTGAACATCGACATCTATTACTGTGCTATTCTTTTCATTTCCATTACTTGTATTTTTTCATAATAATCAAGATGATCAGAAAAATTGAAAATTTAGTTCGTGACAATCTTGTGACTGATTCTTTCTCATAGTAAAAGCTATAGACCTCAAACTTTGTAGTTATGTGATACTTGATATGTACAATAATCTGCCAAAGACTCAAGAAGTTTGCTTTTTTTGAACGCAAGAACGATAAATTTCAAAATTTAACAGAAGTTCTGGAATACCCCTTAAAAATCGAAATTTGATAGAATTTTTTAAATAACTTCATCTATGCAGCATTTTCTTAGGGTTAATGCAAATTGATTACAAATCCTGTTGGATGATAGCCGAGATACTGCTCTTCAAAAATATACGGTCAATATATGTTTAACTTTAAACATAGCAGAAACACCATAAAAATAAAAATGGAACCGAAAATTATGAAACACCCTTTATGTATTCGATTGCTTGAGCTCATTTTTCAGGATCGGTCCACAAACTTCTGAGATATCAAATAAACTTATCTATAGCCACTATTCAAAACAACGATACTTTCGATATAATCTAGCTTCTACTCACAGTGCCAAATATCGTGGTATGAATCAATAAAAGTTCCTGTGATGAAACTATCTGATTGTCGTTCTTGCTAAAAAAGACATAAAATCAAAGGATTTTTTCATAAGATAGCATAGCTTCTTGTTTAGAGCAGACATAAGACCTTGTTCCTCTTATCCCTTCTCTTATACACATTTTTAGTAACACAAAAATTTAACTCATTACACTCTCTACATCAGAGAGTAAAGGGTGAGAGTTAACTGTTTCTTTTAGTATTCCATTAATTGAGCACAAAGATTTGCTTTTGTTAATCGTGTCATTTAATTTGATCAACAATGCCGTTTGTTACATGACGAGATCATATGTGTCGCTTTTTAAAAATGAAACATCAATATTTATTTGAAGACAAAAAGATTTTTTAACGAATTTGATTATTATTAACTTTTTTGCAACATATTTAATAATATTTTGTGTTCGAGGACTTATTTCTCGTCGATTTTTCTTGACTCCATATCTATTGACAATACAGGCAAAGACAAGTTCTTTTTTCAAGAGCAGCAAAACCAATGCATCCGCCAGCTCCGACAATAAATAAAGATTAATAAATTGACTTTGATTAATAATTAATAAATAAACCTTCATGATCAAATATTTCTGATCCAAATGGTTTTAAATCATTATCAAAAACTTGCAATCCCATTGCAAATGCATTCGGATAACCTCGTACAAGATCAATATCATTCTCAGGTGTATTTGATATTGTTGCTTTCTTCATAATATCTTCATTCAATAATCGTTTTTGTTGTCGATTATCTAAGTCTTCAACTAAAGAAGCATAAAATCTTGCAACAGATCGAGCATTTGTTATTCCATTAACACCTGGAATTTCTGCTTGATGATAACGATTATCAGTAATACACTTAACTCTGAAAGAGTTCTTTCATCTATAATATCTCCTACATTAGAATCGAAATATAATGGCGATACACGATATTCTTTTTCTTTGGGTAAACTAATATAAGATTTGATTTTTAATGGATTTGTAATCTCATCTTGAATATATTGTCCAAAAGTTCGTTTCTTCGGATCGTTTCTTCGTACAAGTTCTCCAGCTAACTATCCATAAGTTAAACCATGATACTCATGAGCTGTTCCAGGTGTCCATTCTGGTTTTCTTTGTTCGAGTATATGAATAATCGGTATCCAGTTTAGTGCCAGTTCGAATGGACTAATATCGGACGGTAATCCAGCACGATGTGAAAGAATATCAGAAACTGTTGTACTTTCTTTTCCGTATTGTCCATATTCTGGTCAATATTGTCTAACAAGTGATGAATAATTGAGTAAACCTTTTGAAACGCATAATGCAACAGCTGTAGCTACTAAACCTTTTGTTGTTGAAAAAGGAATTTGTAACGTATCATTTTCATAAGGTTGTCTTTTTTGATTCATTGAACCAATCACCCCATAGATCAACAACTGGTTTTCCTTCATAGTCAACTGAAAATGATGCTAGCTAAATCTTGTTGTTCTTGAAAATTCTCTATGAACAAATATTGAACAAATTCCCATCCAGGATCAGTTTTACCATGAACATTGAAATTTTGATGAATAAAAGCAAAAATAGTTCAGATAAGAAAAGACCAAGTCCATAAAATATACATTTAATAAAAGCTAGTTCGTATTAACAATCGAAATGAAGAAATTTCACCAACATAAAAAGGAATATCACTTTCTTATATTAAATGAAACAAACCCATAGTAAATATCAAACAATTTAAGAGAAAGATTTTAATGACTAGCAGTTAATCGTTTTTTCTTCGTGTTCTTGTGTATTTGTCTCTTATGTATAGATTGTCATCAATCATTTTGTTCTATCACTAGTATTTGAATGATAAAAATAGAAAAATATCAAGAGACTGGATTGTGAAGACCTTATTCTGTTTTGTCGAAGGGCGTATACTGCTTTAAAGTGTAACTAATATTGTATATCCATTCTTATTATAATCCATTGTCATTTCAAGCCTCTTTTAACTATTGATAAATCTAACGTTCTTCGTCATCTTTTAGTATGATGTTCTTAGTCGACTATTTTCTATCACAATATTTAAAGGAAACAGTTTGTTAGCGCAGCCCTTTTGGAACTGAAATGTGGAACTCAAATATTTTCCATAAGCTAGAATACTGAAAAGTTTAAAATTATTATCCATTTCAAAATAAAAGAAGGGTGAGTATTTTTAGAATAACTTTTGATGGGAACTAGATAGAGATCTGTGGTTTTCACCATTTAAAAGAGGTGATGAAACTACATCAAATTATCAATACCAAATTTTTCTGGTACAGTTTTTTGGAGTCTGTCGCCAAGGTTTTTAGAAAATTGAAGCTTTTTAACAGGGTTAGAAGATAGATTTTTTGTAAGAAAAAATCTGAAAAAAAAAGCGATTTTTTCCTCGAAAATACTTAGTAAAACCTTCATAGCACGTGATGAGCTAAACCTATTAGCATCGGGCTTACAGAGATTATTGAGTTTTCGTTAATGATTCTGATACACTACTGAAGAATAAAATTTCAAAAGTTTTACATTACGCAATGTTTTGTTGTCGGAAAACTTATCAGAAAACCGTGAGAAAGGGTGCTAGAAATTTTTAGTATTGGTAATTCGATGTAGTTTCATGGTCTCTTTTAAATGGTCAAAACTGCAGATCTCTATCTAGTTCCCGTCAAAAATTATTCTAAACATATTCGCCCTTCTTTTATTTTGAAATGGATAATAGTCGCTAAAGTCTGTAGTGGGGTGGGGAGCTGTAAAACTTCGACTTAAAATTTACACTCATTATTTTCTTCGAAAATATATGTGAGTTCCACAAAACCATCAACATTCTCTTCATCAGTAAGTTCAATTGGACTATTTTCGAAGTCGATTTTATTAACCACCCATTTTAATGGAAATTATTTATGAATATCTTTTTTTTGTTTTCATTCTCTTCTACCATATGAATTTAACAATAAGCACTGCAGCTGCCTGTCTTTCGATAAGACATTCACGCGATTAGGGTTTGACTATATTAGCAGTAAACCATTCTTAGAGTCGAACCCTAAAAAACCAAGTCAATTTCAATGCCTTTTAGCGACGTATGTGTTTCTTTTGATTTAAATCAAAATTGATAAACAAAGTGGCGTAGATTTATTGTTTACTCAAAATAGAAAGTAGAGTATGGTGTGTGGATGTATAGCATATTCTGATGTAACCCTAGCTCACTCCACTCTACTGTATTAATTTGGTTTCATGGAAGATCAGTATGTAATTAGAGCATATGGCAACGTTTTACTTTGGCCGATAACACAATCAATGTTAGCTATGCATATCCATTTGGGTACGTGAAAGTTTTTGTTTATATTTTGTCAATTCGTCTCTTCGACCTTGAAAATCTTTAACAATATATTTTTCTGCTTCTTGTCATAATCATAATTTACTCGCGTGATATTTCATGATTTTCTTTAGAAGGATTACACTTAGAATTATTCCAACGAACAAGCCAATTACAGCGCATATTAAGACTATAGCGAGGACATTGGCAAAAAATCCACTCCTGTTGCTATTACAACAACGATGGCAAGCCGATCTAAAGCCACCATTACTGTTGCTAGCACAGAAAAAGATAATCAAAGTAACAAAACCGACAGTGACCAATAGTAAAATAAAAGCGCTAAAATAATAAATCGTAAATCCATTGATCGAAGATTTCAAAAGCCTTTCTCTTTTAGCTTTTGGATCGTTTTGAAAGGTTTCAATGATGAATTCGAATTGGCATTTATCACAAAACTTGAAACCTTTTCCACGTTTATTTTCTTCTCACCAATAATATAAACATGTTCTGAGAACATAAACTGAATTGCCAGTACATAAACATGAACTTGTGATGTCATCAGGATTGTCAATATCTAAACATATTTGACATTGTTGTAATTAATCCTATGAAAGTAACAATCCAATATCGTTTCTTACAGGCACGAATGAACTTCACTGAATTATTCAAATACAAAGAGAAAATATTAAAATAATTACGATAAATGGCTTGCGTATGAGGAAAATCATTAGCCATTAGTGTGTGGTTATTACGCTCTTCTTCATATCAAAAGAGTATTTCCTTTAAAGTTTCAATATGAAGAGCATGTTCAGAATTTCTATATTTGAACATTCCTAGGTATGTATCACGTTAAAGTTCAGTTATAATGATGAGGAAGAGCGGAAATATGAACAAATAAAAATAGAATAAATCTACAGTATAATTTAGGCAAATGGTTATATTCAAAAAGGAAACACATAGCTAAAGAAAAATAGATTCTCGTCAATTTAGGCCTTCTTCCTTTGTTTTTCTATCTGTCTAAATCATATGATAGTTCTATTCTTTATTTTTCATTTTGCTTGAGTTTTCTTACTAATCACTAGGCCCGTAATGCAAATCAATGCATGTACAACAAAGTTCAAACAAGAAAATTTGAAAGAAAATACTATTTCGATAATGAGGAGCTCGGTTTTCATACATCAATAATATTGCAATACATTCCAGACAACTAGAACACTTTCAAGAAAAACAAGCAACCAGAAAAGAGTTTACTCTACTCGAATGAAAGTAGCTTCTATTCCAAGTTTTCTCGAAAATACTACCCATTCAAAAAAAGAAACAACTGAATTATGCATGTAAGTTTCCGCAGATATCTCAACTCAAGTTAACTAAAGAGAGCATAGAAAATAAGTACTCTAAACAATTTTATTGAAATGTGAAAACTAAAATGATTGTAATTTAGACCATCTTCGTAGCTTTTCGACCAATATGCTGTGCTAGCTGCTATAAGAAAAGCAAGAAATAACAATTAAGAGAAGCGAGTTTAGGGACAACAAAAACATCTGTCTTCTGACTTTAATAAAATGGTTTGTCTTTATTGTTTCAAGGAAAAGCGTCATGCTATGCAATAAATAAATTAAATAACAGCGAAAACGGAAAAGATGATACACTATGTTGTGACCTTCCACCTAGGAAAAAAGAAAACAAAACTATTTCTTGTTACTTGTTTTGTTGAACTATAGTGCGACCCATCAGTGAGTCGCATCGTCTCGATTGGGTTGCAATAAAATACTGACAGGCTACTTAAGACAATCGTTTTGATGTGTTTCTCAATATTTTTCAGTCTGTTTAATTTTTGAAATGCTAAGTGACTTAGACAGTCATTGTTTGTGTGGATTGTTATTGTAATATTTTTGATCTAATGCTATAAATGTATTGATGGCCACATACCACAACAAGCTTTAATGTAGATCAGTGTCACAGTGTTTTGTTGGTTTGTTGAGATGAATCGTCGACATTAATGAATCATTCGTGTTTCGTCGTACGGTTGAATGAATTATCTACAGGCACAAGGGAAGCATGTGATTGATTAATGTGAAATATTTTTCATACATGATTGAGGTAACATGACGAAAACAATTGAAGATAAAAAATTTTGTTTATACAAACAACGAGCTAATTTTAAAGTTTAGGAGTATAATCTATGAGACTGTTATTTTGTTTTATATACTCTTTTTTTTCTATTCTCCATTGATGAATTTGGGTCATTTCCTTCCTTCTCGCTTGTTAATTTCACTTTCTTGTTGATAAGAAGGAAAGCTTTTGTTACCTTTTTCTAGTTTAAGAACTGTAGCATATATATACTATATATATTTACTTCTTCCTTACATAAAATACAGTTGCTTTTCTTTTTCATATGATTATTTCGATCTCATCTAGTATAAATTTGAAATTATTTGATTGTTAACACTTGTAGAAAGTATAAAACAAATATTAAACAGAAAGGAAGCATTTTAATAAGCTCGTGACTTCAAAACGACTGTTGAAAATCAGAAAAAATAAAAGATTGAGTTTGTCATATTGAGTTGTTATTTGTTACGGTTTGCTCCTTCTGTACACTAGTTATATTATGGGATGAGCAAGAAGGTCTCGAGCACTTTTTTCTGTTCTTTTCTTTCACGTTTCTGCTTCATCGCTTTTTCCTTTTTCTTCTTATTTTAATCGTTCGTCTATAAATTGTAAGGATGACACACTGTATAATGAATGAAATTTCATTAAGCTACCATACTAAGTAACGTAAAATCGCAATTTTATCAATAATATATGATACACATGGCAAACGTGAAGTGAGGTAAGTAATAAAAATATGACGTCTCTAACAATTCAGATGTTGGAAAAGGACAACAGAAAACTTAACTGATACTTCTTAGTTCTATTCAAATTTATTTCCAACAATTAAAGTTTAATTATGAAATACTGAGGGCAATGCAAAATTATTAACCACAGTACTTTGATTTCTTATAAAAATTTAAAAGAAACTTCGTGTTTTCATGGACTAATAGTAAAATGTTGCTATTGTGTCATTTTTCAGCTAATATCATAATAGTTAAATTTCAATAAGATTTCTTCAGCAGTCACGTATGACATTTACATTAGCTCATATTGTGTTCGGTGTGTATTCTCTTCTTGATTTTTTTCTCTGTGCTTCTACTCTCTTTTCTGTATCATAATTTTCGCCTCCTCTTATACATAGCTGTCTATGTATATTAAGGTATACAACATCTTTTGGCGATAGAACAAAAACAAAATACAGAAGAAATTAGCTTGTAGTTCGTTTTCAACCTTTTATCGACTTTCACAAAGCTATTTTGACCATCTTCCAATTCTCATGAGAAAAGAAGCTTCGTCATCGCAAATAAGACATGATTCATCGTGAATCACTTTTCTGAAATATAAGGTATAGTGGATACCTTAATGCAAAAACAAAACATTCCCTTATTCATATTGAATAGAGATGAACATTGTCAAAGCTTTGTTTAGCTTTATTTGTTTGACTTGCTTGATACCACACTAAAAAGCTAAAGATACAAACAAAATACAAGTTCACCATTAAGCAATAAATGACCAGAAAAAAGAATAAAGAAATGAAAGAAGATATACAGAGGGAAAAGCAAGCAAAGAATACATCTCGAATATAATATGAACTAATGTAAATGTCACATGTGACTGTTAAAGAGATCATATTGAATTTTGACTATTATGATATTAGTTGAAAAATGACATATAATAGCGCAAAAAATAAAGCATCGCTTTTACTATCAGTGGTATAGAAAGGAAAGTTTCATTAAACTTCTTGATGAGAAATTAAAGTGTCTCTGCCATCACTTTTGAATTGACTTGAGTAGCTTTTTATGCTGATTCCAAATAAGACATGTGATTGAAGTTAGACTCGGATTCGTTCTTTTGAAAAATGTCGATTATCTGTAAAAAAAATCACAAATTACGTCTCAAGCATAGTAGTGAGAGCAAATTTCTTTGATTATCTAAGAAGTTCTTATTGCATCGAATAAATCTATTTCCAACAAATCGCCATTGAATTTGGATTAATTATCATTTAGTAATTAACTAGTTTTGAGACAATGATATTTCAAATGACCACGTGTAGTTCTATCGAATTGTACACTTATAATGTAGCCGTGATATTTTTTTTCGATAAATGAAAAAAGTGAATGTATTAAAGATTATATTGTG